AGATGTGAGAGGACGGACAAAAAGTGTGCATCAAACGAGAGGAAAGCAGACACTCACCACGGCACACAGACAGTCAGATGGGCGAATGGACAGACGGGCATATCAACCGGTTGCCATGTGACAACGACAGCTGATACAGACGCGGACCAACACCGAGACACAAACGTGTATGGGAGCTATTCTCGGCCAGCGATCACATCGCCGGTTCGAGTCCCGTCGGCAAGCGAGGACTCGGGCAGATCATGCTTGAATGTGCTCTACACGCCTCAAACGAAAAAGGGTCAAACGAATCTCAGTCACTCTAGATGTAAACTACTCATATTCATTGTGAGTAGGCTCCACAAACACCGGATCTTCTTATCGTCATGGGGTGTGCGTTATCAAAAGCGAAATTTCTGTCATGTGATTTACATTCGTCTTCTCTTTTATTCCCAACTTGGTCATACTGGCAGGAGGATCCAGTCCTGGCGACGTAGTCGGCCTCGTCAGTGAGCCTTGACATTGTTGGTTTCGCGAATTAATTTATTTCTCTTACTTATCTAAAAGAATGTAAGTTATTAAAACGGCCATTTATGTCATTGTTCATTTGCAAGTAGTGCTTCGAGACTACTTGTCGTTATCATCTTGACAGCTCATACAACTAATTTACTGGTAGTCTCGAGACACTACTTATAAACGAAAACTAAGTAATGCAGTCGATTGCGTTAGCAAATATACATTTGCATCATCGTCACCACCACATCTGCCCTCTGACCCTTCGAGCCAGGCTTGTGGTGTTGAGCTCGGTGCCGCAGTCCACTCCAGCCGGGATGAGACGAACGTTTTGGGAAAGCAAGACTGTGTGATTGTGAATGAGTTCAACTGCCACTTCTTCATCAGCTTAAACGAAGTAAAGCCAATACATTTCATGTTTTTGTCATTTGCTTTACATTCGTTTCCGAAATTGCCCTAAATGCAGACGACTTGTACTCATGAGATGATGTGAGTAGACCTTGAATTCCGCTTCACCTTGGACGAGAATACCTTCCAATGGAAGCGTATCACTTTAAACGAAATGGGATAAATAACACTTCACATTAAGCTTGTTTAGGTTTGAGAACAATGTTTTCGTCCAGATCTTCCGGCCAATATGACGACGTCTGTGCTTTCTTCTTTTATCTCTCCGCTGACCACAACTGCCACTTATGCCCAACGCTGTCCATTCCGCTTTCGGCTCAGACTCATTATAAAGTTAAGCAGAAACATCATCTTTGGAGACTTCTGTCGTAAGTGTCTAATTCAGGAGAAATAAGATACCTCTGCTTTTCTGGTACCGTTGGGTTGATATCCCGCCTGACGCCGAATCACACGCCAGGAGTCTGAATGTCACCAATTTCTCAGGCTAAATACTTGATTGGTATGAAAATTAAGGTGTGGCTTTTTGTGTGGTCGCAGTCTCCTTTTGTTGTATAAAAGTTGTTTGACCTTGTTTTTCGCAACTTGGTCATGTTGGTAGGACGACCTAGAGACGTCCAAACTCGGACCATGGATGTGGTACATTCCCAGTCTCGCCATTCGTAGCACCACACAACAATTCGTCAAAGAGACAAGTGAAG